GCGCTTTTTTTTTCTGGCCATTGGATAATGATTATCAATCACACACGATCTTCAATCCCCTCTCCTCCCCTAGGAATGTTACTAGTCACGTAGCTAATTTAGTAATTCAGTATTACTAAATATCGTTTTGAATAGTCCAAATCCTACCAGGTACCCATTTATTCTCCTGGGTTGAAAGGGACAAACGTTGTAGATATTGTCCAAGGACACAAGCATTGCGATTGAACTCATTTTGGTTGGAATCCCAAAGGCCTATCTCTTATTCACGCGATTTTACTAACTCTTCGTAATAATATGGGCCTAGGCCTCACACTTTCAAAATTGCTAATTGATAAAGAGATTAATTACATGTGAATCAATACAAACGACTCACTAATGTCACATTATGCAAGACATTTACCTGGGATAATACTACAATAATTTATAGTTTTATAAACGCAACCTCTATTTACATCATCAGCGGTTTTACTTGTTGCCGGATATAAATTTGGGTATTACATAGCTCTCATGAGGTGTGAACAATGCATCGTATGACATAGCACCATTCTGTGGATAACCGCAATTACAGACACTCATCGAGCGCAAAGACGTTAAAAGACGTCATTAAGTGTGTGTTTGAATAAACCAGGAAAGTTCAAAGCGACAAAATATCCAATACAATGCTATACTAAGACTAAGCTTTTTTTCGGTACGATAATCAAATACTGATGCATTGTTCTACATAGGCCTACAACAAAAATATAATGTTAAATTCAGAGGCCAATTCTAAAGGCAATAGTCATTCCTAAGGGTTATTATATTCCAATGCGCGTGCGCATTTTAAACACGTATAAATATGAGATCAACGACACCATGAATTATTTGATTTAAGAAATTTCTCTTGTTGTTGCCAAGTTGACTTAAACAAATTGACGCAGCAATATTCGGTAAAATTTAGCGTCTGACAAGGTTAAGGTCATCAAATGATGTTGGGAATCGCGAAGATATATAGCTTGGTGTTATCTTGGGGTTATTGATTTATAATTTGATGATTAAGCAAATGTTCAATTAATAAACACGATTTAAAACTGTCCTCAGGGGCTGACGTCATACTCGTGCGTAGTACCGCTCTGTGAGCGCGCATAGATGTGAATTGTGAATTGCAATCCGTCACGGCCAGTCAAGGAATGTGCAGTAAATTGTAGAATCAATGCTTGGATATAACGTACGAACAAAAACAAATGATTTTAAACCGCAGCAAACTTTTGTGCATAAAACCGTATCATTTTTACCATTTTTTTGTGGACACAATAACAAAATTGTGTGGGGCTGTCCCAACTGTTAATATAGCTGTCCATACGGCATTGCCTATTATCTTTTAGTATGCAGGGGATGATTGTTTGAAACTATTGGGTGTGTAATAGGCCTAAATGTCAAGATTTTGGAGCAACATTTGGGAACCTTCGGAAGTTTTGTATATCAGTATGTAGTTAATAGAGAAAAGGACATTCAATTGTGTGCTTCCATCCAGAGAGCAGTGGAACAATACTTACTTTCAAAAGCTACCATCACTTAGTGAGGACTTCGTTTTATTGGTATTTTATGTGTTTTTCAACCCGTTGAAACGATGTGTCTAAAGATAACATTTTATCAAGGAAAATCGTGCGAACCAATTAAATACTTATTTAAAGTTGTTACCTCAGTTCTGATAAGATTTTTTGAAAATTCTAACTAAACAATGTTGAGAATTTTCACCATACGTAATATTGTCTCAAACATTTGTTTGGGCTAAGAATAAACACGTTTAATACACATTTTATAAAAACATTGGGAATGAAATTGCTTCAATTAAGAACAACATAAGAACAAATTAAGGCTGAGGTAAAATGTCAAATGAGATTTTTATTTTTTTTAAACTAGAAAAGTCAAAAATGTGCAGTAGGTGTGACTATGTAATACCCTCGCAGTATAATAGGTGTACCTACCTGTCATTTGAGGCCATTGGGGGCCATTTTTCTGGGGATATTTTTTTCAGGGGCCTTTTTTTTCCTGGGCCACTTTTTCCGGGGCCACTTTTACCTACACTCTAGTACAGTGTGTACTGGTACATTAATATTTTAGTATAAACAAATAAACATGTGGAAACCATTTAAAATCCGGAAATCGGGCCGGGTGATAGTTGGAGAAAATAGGACATGCTTTCGCCTGTTCATAGCACTTGAACAAGTGGCGTAGAAGGGTCAGAAAAAGATAGTATGCAACAGATTTAAAGCCAGGCTCCGGAAGGAAAATATCACTATGATATGTTGTGCAAATAAATTGAAGGGTTTTTTGAATGAATTTGTGAACTGCTAATAACAAGCATTAGCCGTTTCCGATTATTTCTACAAACACCCTTCAATGCCTTATAGTTTAGACTATGTTTCTTAGGAGCCTGGGTTTTAAGGAATAAAGACTTATTTTTTCGATATATCTAGGCAGGCCTAATTTTTCAATCTATTCTGGTGATACACCTCATCAAGGGTTAAGTGTTAAAAACTATTTCTTTAGTTACAAATTTATTAACTCTCGAGAGTCGTTTTTTCTCTAAATGTACAAATTAATAATGACATTGATAATTCATAAGAGCATTTTATCTTTAACATGTGTTGCTTCCTCCAGGAAAGAATAAGGCTTCATGGAATCGACTAAAGAGTGTTTTGGTTCAAATCTGTCACCTGTGTGATAGCAATCAAATGGACAGTGCAAACAAAATGCAAAGTGGTTAATATTGTAGATTTAAACGAGGACATCAAAAACACAAGGCGACAAGGTGTCGTTAATTTACTGATACGGAATACATCCTTTTGTGGCAGTGAGCAAGTTTAACAAGATGTAAATAATTACAAGTTTCCCTTGTTCAATTTTACCAGGAAATAGGCAGCAACGCATGGTGTTAAAGATTAGAGAAAAGCCGACTGAGAACGTTCAGTTTCTACTTAATATGATTTATAAATAACA